GGTTATCTGACAAAGTCTAGTATTGTTCCCTAATACTAATCTTCTCCATTTGAAGCAGTTTTTTTTTTAATTAAATGATGAAACTACCCCAAACTACCCCAAATGTCCTTATAACTTAAGCAGATGTACTGCGTTTGGAAACTCATAATAAAGACATATTTTTAAAAACTCATCTCCCATCCAAATCTCCATACCTTTACTATTATACTTCATCAGTGGGGGAAAAAAATATAGAGTCCACGGCAGATCCAAAATTAGCTCACCTATATCAACATACCTAAGATAGCATAGTCCTTGATGCCTTTACCTATACATTAAGGAAGAAACAGAATGTAATCCTACTGAATTCAGTAGGTCAATATATGGAGACAATCAACTTTCCAAAACAGCTCTTTGAGGTTTCCCTAAGAAAAAGAAATAGGAAACAAAATACTATCTTATCACATGTTCCAAAGGTATGCTATGTACCAAATAATTGTTTGATAATAGCTTAAATCAACCAAAAATTCCGCAATAGTCATCTATGCTATGGGTCAGCAACTTTTCTATGAAGGGCCAGAAAGTAAATATTTTACTTTTTACAGGCCATATAGTCTCTTATTGAAACTACACAGCTACTTTACTGTCACACTAAAGGAGCCACAGATAGTAAATAAATGAATGGCTGTGCTGTGTTTCAACAATACTTTATGGAGGGCTGGATTTGGCCTGTGAGCTGTAGTCTGCAGACCATGATCTATACCTCTCTTGAGCCTACTTCCTAATGCAGATGGAAAAAATGAAAGGTTACCAAATGAGATAACTGGAGAACAAAATATATTATTTCCTTCATTCTTCTGCTAACTCCAAAGCTTTTAATAAAATTAGATTTTAAAAAATCAATTATTACCATTTTTAGGTGTAACAAAGATTTTTAACATTTTTAGGTGTGATAAAGGTGAGAAACTTTTTAAAAGAGCCCTTACGTTTTAGAATACATATTAAATATCTACTGATGAAATAATATGGTATCTGTCTAGATCTGCTTCAAAATAATTCAGTAGAGGGAATGGGAGGAAAGGTGTATAGATAAAAACTGGCCATGAGTATTAATTCAAGTGAGGTGATGGGTACATAAGATTTATTATACTATTATCTCTACCTTTGTATATGTTTAATGTTTCCAACGATAAAAAAGTTCATAAAAAACAAATCACTTTATAAACAATATGGCAAATTATGTATGACAAATCTAAGTGCATCTGCAAAATTAACTCTTTTCTCTACTTTAGCACTACTGACATTTAAAGCCAGATCATTGTTGTGAGAGCTGTCCTGAGCACTGTAGGACATTCAGTAGCATCCTTAGCTTCTATCCTCTAGATGTCAGCTGTACCTCCTCCACCCACCCACTTGTAAGAATTAAAAATGCCACTAGACATTTCCAAATGTCCCTTGTGGAACCTAAATGCCCCCAGCTAAGAACCAATGTATTAAACAAACTATACAGTTGTTTAACAGGCAGTGTTAATTCTTATATCCTAGAAAAATGAAACTTTGATAAACTTTTTTTTCGTATTGGGCTGAAGTCTTGATTGAGACAGGGTCTCACTCCTGCCACCCAGGCTGGAGTGCAGTGGTGCGGTTTCAGCTCACCACAGCCTGGGCTTCCTGGGCTCAACCGATTCTCCCACCTCAGCCTTCCAAGTAGAAGAGACTATAGCAGTGCGCCAGCACAGGTGGCTAATTTTTTATATTTTTAATAGAGACAGGGTTTTGCCATGTTGCCCAGGCTGGTCTTGAACTCCTGAAATCAAGTAATTCACCCACCTCAGCCTCTCAAAGTGCTTGGATTACAGACGTGAACTACTGCACTCGGCCGATATTTATATTTTAACTCAATTTTTCAATATAGTTTTTCCTCTACCAATTGGGAAACTGTGTTATTAATAACCCTTTTCACACTTTTACAAATTGCATTTTCTTATAATGAATTTTAAAATAAAAAATGCACAAAATGGAAATTCAAATGAGGAATACGGTAAAAGTCCCATATATCTATCTTACTGTTCTAGTTAGCAGTCAGTTTGCAAACTTAAAAATACGTTATTTGGCCGGGCGCGGTGGCTCATGCCTGTAATCCCAGCACTTTGGGAGGCCTAGGCGGGTGGATCACTAGGTAAGGAGATGGAGACCACTATCCTGGCTAACACGGTGAAACCCCCTTTCTACCAAAAATACAAAAAATTAGCCGGGCGTGGCGGCGTGCGCCTGTTGTCCCAGCTACTCCGGAGGCTGAGGCAAGAGAATGGCGTGAACCCGGGAGGCAGAGCTTGCAGTGAGCTGAGATTGTGCTACTGCACTCCTGCCTGAACGACAGAGCAAGACTCCATCTCAAAAAAACAAACAAACAAACAAAAACCATTATTTATTAAATATCTAGACTACCAAAACTCACTTCAACTCCCGTCGTTCCATGTTTATATTATTAACTGTTTGTTTTATATTTGAGTACAGTTAAGAAAAAAAGAGGCTGGGTGCAATGGCTCACACTTGTAATTCCAACACTTTGGGAGGCCAAGGCAGGAGGATCACTTGAGTCTAGGAGTTTGACACCAAACCGGGCAACACAGTGAGACCTTGTCTTTACAAAAAATTTTTAAAAATTAGCCAAGCATGATAGCACACACCTGTAGTCCTAGCTACTTGGTAGGCTGAAGTGGGAGAATTGTTTGAGCCTGGAAAGTCAAGGCTGCAGTGAACCATGATCATGCCACTGCAGTCCAGTCAGGGCAACAGAGCAAGACCCTGTATCAAAAAACAAAAAAACAAAAAATAAAAAACATCTGGCCGGGTATGGGGCTCATGCCAGTAATCTCAGCATTTGGGAGGCTGAGGTGGGCGAATCACTCAAGGTCAGGAGGAGTTTGAGACTGGCCTGGCCAACATGATGAAACCCCAACTCTACTAAAAATACAAAAATTAGCGTGGCGCAATGGTGCACTCCTGTAATCTCAGCTACTCGGACAGTAGAGGCACAAGAATCGCCTGAATCCAGGAGGCAGAGGTTGCAGTGAGCCAAGGACATGGCACTGCACTCCAGCCTGGGCAACAGAGGGTGACTCTGTCTCAAAAAAAAAAAAAAAAAAAAAAAGGAAAGAAAATCTACTCTCGAAAAACAATGCCAATTTCATTCCTAATTCCAAAGCTGCAAACCCATTCTGCAAAACCTCTCAAGTGAATAAAAATCTCTAGAAACACAAATATATGAATAATCCCATGCTGCCAGGTTGGTGATTAAATTCTGAATCAGAAAGCATACTTTAAAAAGAAACTTAGGCAAAAAGAAATGTGGTTTTTCAGCTTCTTGCCTTATTAGCTGTAATCAGAAGAACTTTGGTTTTTCAGTAGTTGTTGCTATTGGGGTTTCTGGATTCACTAAATTAAAAATCAGATATTCAGCTCAAGAAATTTCATACCATTCCACCAAATAAAACTAAAATAATAAGAAAGTAAAGTAATTACCTTCTATATACAAAATACTAAAATTAACTTTCATTACCAAAAAAAACCTTGTAACACACACTAGGTTCCTAAATTCACAACCAAGAAAGATGCAACTTAAAAATTACTAGTGCAAAAGTAAAATCAAATTATATAATCTCATTCATAAAGACATCATAGTAATAAAACTATTGTATAGTTCACAGATATCTAATCTGCTAATTTAAAATTCAAGTTCTTAGGCGTGGTGGCTCACACCTGTAATCTCAGCACTTTGGGAGGCTGAGGCAGCCACATTACTTGAGGTCAGGAGCTCGACACCACCCTGGCCAACATGGCAAAACCCTGTCTCTACTAAAAATACAAAAATTACCCAGGTGTGGTAGCAGGTGCCTGTAATCCCAGCTACTGGGGAGGCTGAGGCATGAGAATCACTTGAACCCAGGAGGCAGAAGTTGCAGTGAGCTGAGAATAGGCCACTGCACTCCAGCCTGGGCAACAGCATGAGATTCTGCTTAAAAAATAAATAAATTAATTAATTAATTTCAAGTTATTTCTAGCCAACAGAAAATTCCAACATTACAGATGACCTGTTTAACCTTAAAAACCACAGGCTCTTTAGTAGCTGTCCAACAATTCAAAATACATACATTTATAGAAAAAAGAAAAAGTAACATAAGACTAGAAAAGGCTTCTCTTTTCCAATATGCATCTTTTTAAATTTTTTAATTAGTAAAATCAGGCTGATCCAATTTAGCCCTCAGCAATTCAAGTCCTCATTAAGCTCTCACAGATGAGAGTGTTTTTTAGACAAAACTGCAATTTTCTGCCTAATTTAAATTTGCTACAATTTGATTTATTCTAAATAATCTTGCACTATACTAAAATAAGTGTGATTCAAATACATTTTTAGTAATGAGTAGCTAAGTAAGACAAAGCAAGCCATCCTTCACACTAGAGATATAGAGAGATCCCCAATCCAGACTCCAATGATATTAAGAAGTGTTTCTCTTTCATAAGAATATATTCTAAATTAAATGAAGCATATATACACACATACGGTGATAAACATGCATTATGAACTCTTCAAATATTCACATTAAGGTCAAGAAACAATAAAACTTTAAAAATGCTAATTCAGTTACGACAAAACAACAACAAAAAATGTTTCCAAGTGTCACAGAGATCAGGAAAGATTCTGACCCAGTGGACTTACATTCCTTGTCCTTCAATTTCCCTACTATGATTCCTGATACTTGGACGAGCCCACCTTTAGCTCCGTAAAACATGATGGTTACACCACAGTAGCAAGAAACTCAACTCCTATCTTTACCTAGGAGTATGGCTAAAATATAAAGGATCACAGAAAGACAAGTCTCTGTCAGATTTTTATTTTCAATCAGAATAGTCTTAGGTGGATATTAAATTTCAAAAATAAAAACAATCCATCTCATGATATACAAGTATTATTTCTGGGAAATAAATGTTTACTTAAAATATTTTTCAAGTTTACTTACCTCTGCTTCGACATCCACATTTTGCTTCAAAAGTAACTTCAAAATGTCAACATGTCCATTCTGACTAGCAGCCTGCATAGCTGTGTGGCCAGCACACTGCCCATTTACCTAAATTTTGTTTAAAAAAGAATGAATGAATGAATGAATGAATAATCAGAAACAGGCAATATATACATACAGTGTAGGTTTAAATCTAGTATACTGTATGATTCCATGAGAATAATTTAGGTTGGTGTTCCATATATCATAGTTCAAATAACTACAGACTTCTTAATTCAGAGAAGGGAAGCAAGCATTGTTTTAAAAAACAAAAGTTCCATTGTCCAAAGAGTTACGAAATAACTGTTAGGCAATCTGCAAAGTTGAAAGAAGGGAAAAAAGAAGGGAGGAAAGAAAGGAAGTAAGTTAAGTTAGTTTTGTATATACACTTCTTTTTAGATTAATCTCTGAGTCCATGGTTCAATGAAAAAACGCACTGAAGTGAAAAGAAAACTTTTAGAAAAGATATTAGCTGCTAAGGATAAATAAATTCAATTCAACAAAAATACCAAACATCAACTTGCAGGCAAACTGCAAGGATAATAAATAAGGATACACAAGGTAGGTATATACAACTATTATAAAGCAGCAATTTCCAACCTTCCCTTCACTCCAGATGTCATGTACATGTATAACTAATCCATGGACATACCCAAGGCCAAGTGCAATTCTTTAATTCTACCCCTTTTACTCCCATCCACAAAACCATTAAAGATGGTTAAAGATGGTAGCCTGGCCACATGTTTATATACTATCTTTCCTGAAACCACACTAAAACGACATTAAAATAATTTTATTTTAGTAAAAATCCATAAAGATAAAGGGAGAACATCAGAAAACAAGAAAAAGTAACACATTTTGTGAAAGAGAGAAAACAGATGGAAAAGCGTTATCTCACTTTAGAGAGAACAGGAAGCCACAGTGTAAAGAGCACAGGAAATCCCAGACAAACTCAAAGCCTACAAACATAAGCACATCATAGGTAACAAGGGGGGCCTCAGGTGTAAGTCTGATGTGCAATGGTCACACTCCAAGCCCACTCCTCAAACTCAAGGACAGAACACTAGCTGCCTGCATCTCATCCCCAGACAGGAAAACTTGAACAACTGTAGAGAATAGATTTCTACAGGATGGTATTTAGAGATCCCCCAAAACTCTACACACCCAATCACCATAATGCAAAGTTAGTCAATAAGTCCAGGTGAGGAGAGCTATCAATCAGCTTTGTAATGTCCTACTGAGATATGAATGGACAACCAAGGATTGGAGATTTGTCCCCTCTTATAGATGAACGAACAACCAAGGATTACCAGACGTCTGAGGAATGGCTCTGATGTGAAAACAGTAACTCAGAAGAGACAAAAAACTTAAGCAGACACAAGAACTTGTTTTCTTATAAAGACCTATCATATACACTCAGTAAGGAAAAAAATGATATTGTATCCTCTTTAAACACCAACATGATACTATCAAAAGGAATGTGAAAAGGGCAACCAAGAAAAGCTTGAAATTTAAAACTGATGGAATAAAAATCTTGGAAAAACGGTGAGAAAATTAAGTTAAGGAACCTCTCAGAAAGGAAGTGGGGGAAGAAAAAAACAGGAGAAAAAAAAGAAAAAGAAAATCCGAGGAATAGTCCAAGAATAATCAATAAAACAACCAAAGAAAATTTGCAGATATGAAAGACATGATTTCCAGTTTTAAAAAGTCAAACACCTAAAGCAATGGATGAAAACAGATCCACATCAAGGTGTATCATTGTGCAAGTTCTTAATGCTGACCAAAACAAAATATCATCATGCTTAAGAGAAAAAACAGCGTACATGTAAGTTCAGGAATCAGAATGGCTTATATCTTCTCAATAGTAATTCTGGAATTATTCTACAGGAAAATGACTTCTAACCTAGAACTCTATTCCAATCTAAAACTTAACTGTGGAGTTTAAAAAAAAATTCAGATATTAAAGGTCTATTTCCCATGCATCCTTTCTCAGAAGCTAATAAAAGCCTTACTTCACCAAAAAGAGAGAAAATGTAGAAACAAAAAGACAGGGGATACAGAAAACAAGAAATTCAACATAGGAGAGAAGAGAAGGGAACCCTCAGGATGATGGGTGAGAAGACACTCCAAGTGGGCATCCAGTGCAGAGGAAACCCTGTTCAGATGGAGAATATCAGAAGGCATAAGAGAAATGTCTCCCAGAAGATGAAAATGAATACATATCATCTGTTGTACCTAAATGTCTCGAGCAATTGAGGTATGTTACGATTAAAGAGGAATTTAGGAAGAAATTAAGTATAAGAATACAGATTACTAACAAATGAAAAAATATAAAAATTATGTGTAAGCAGAGGGACTGCGAAAGACCACAAGTAACTTTTAAGAATGAAGGAAATATTCTACACCTTAATAGAGGTGTGGACTATGTGGGTGGTATGCATTTGTCAAAACTGGCTGATCCACGTACTTCACTGTATGAAAATTATACTTCAATTTTTTAAAAAATGACAATTATGAACTCCAATTAAAAACAAAAAGTTAGGTAGGAAAACATAATCTAATATACTCCACAGCATGGCTATGAATGTCATTTACATAACATGCACAACTAATTTTAATCCAAACAAAATTACAATATAATATAACTACATGATGAAGCTGGAAACAGTATGTGTCTGGTGGGGATGGGATGGAAGTGGTGAAATAAAGCTAAATCCTCACCTTCCACAGTGAGGTATCAAAAGATCTAGGAAAGGAAAAGGGAAAGGAAAGGAAGAAAGAAAATTAAGACATTGTAACAGAGGTATATCGGTATGTTACCGGAAAATGTAGAGGTAAATATGAAGGTTATTAGCCAGCTAAGAATAGTTGCCTCTGAAGAACAGGAAAATAGGGGTGAGAAAGAGGAGATGCTATTTTTCATAACAAACCTTATAGAACTGTATTTTCCTTTAAATTTTTAGTACTGTAACGCTCTTAAAAAATAATTTTAAAATAAATTAGTAAGTAAATGAAAAAAAATTATAGTAAAATCTAAATTTGCTTGACTGGAATACAAAGGAAATCCATCTTTCAAACACAAAAAATACTTGGTACTTCAACATTTAAGGCAAATTATTTTTACACAGCTCACAACCAATCAACAAATTGCTGTGCTATATTGCTACAACTGATCTTTATAATAAAGCTAACATGTCGAGCTTATAGGAGAAATAAGACACTAATACTTTACAATTATAGATCCGATCTTCAAACTGTCTAGCATACTTAAAAACAAACAAACATGCAAAGAAAGGTATGGTAACAAAAGCCCTTACAGTACAGTGAGAATGATTCAAATTGTCACTCCAACTACAACTTCTTGGCTGGCACCGAACATAATACTGGTGCCAGCAAGGTGTCAATGCCAAAGCCAAAGCACAATGACTGGAATCAAAACTGCCCACTTAAAAGATGGCTTGTATGAATGGCAAAAATACAACATAACCTAGGAATAGTTATAAAATATATGGCCTTTAATTCATCTGCCTTATAAATTGTGAAACAGTCAACTATCATTGAAGTGGAGAGGAGTTACATTCAATATTTTGAAAAGAGGGATTGAAAATTGCTTATATACACACCTGCTATGTACTCACAAAAATTAAAAAATAAAATTGCTTATAAAATTTACTAAAACATACTTAGAAGATGTCATAAAATGATGTTTACATGAGAAAAAAAAATCACTGAATTTCCCAAAAGGATACTAGTCTTTAAAAACCAAAATTTAAGTTGTGTCAATCATAAAAAGGGTCATAATGTTAAATACGAAAATATCTCTTTTTTTAAAGAAATGCACACTGAAGAATGTCTGATATCTGCTTTAAAATACTTCACAAAAACAAGAAAGAAGGAATAAATGAAGCACATCTGGCAAAATCTTTGTAATTGTTGAGGATAAGGTTCATTATACTATTCTACTTTTTGTATGTTTCAAAATAATTTTTAAAATGCTCACATCCACATCTGGTCTTTTAAGCAAATCTTCCACTTTAGCAACATCTCCATTGGCAGCAGCCTTAACTAATTCTTCATTGAGGTCACCAGATTCTTGGGTTTCAAATAATTTCTTCAGGAGTTGTGAGAGTCTTTCTGTAAAGCATCAAATCAAGCTGCTAATATAGGAGGATCTCAAACCTTAACTATCAAGAAACAAATATTACCCAATATTTCTATAATCTTTTCCTATTTTATTATTTCCATCACTAATGTTATTTTTCTACTATGCTACAGATAACTACCCATGCAAGTTATAATCCCTACTATAAAAAGCTGCATTAAATGCAAGCCCTTAAGTATTCCAAGTTTTCTCCAATTCATGTATATCCAATTATAATTTTAGAAAAAGTAGTGCATTATATACTAATAATTCAAGATTTAAAAGTCATCGTAAAAAGTTTATGAATAAACACAGTACTATGGGAGTACCACAATGATACAAACTTCCTTTCAGGTTTTAAGGACACTACAGTGACTCTCAGAGCTCAATACTACAGACTTTAAAATAATTCAATCAATGATTATGATCAAAAGCAACAATCCGGCTGAATGCGGTGGCTCACGCCTGTAATCCCAGCACTGTGGGAGGCCAAGGCGGGCGGATCACGAGGTCAGGAGATCGAGACCATCCTGGCGAATATGGTAAAACCCCGTCTCTACTAAAAATCCAAAAAAAAAAATTAGCCGGGCGTGGTGGTGGGCGCCTGTAGTCCCAGCTTCTCGAGAGGCTGAGGCAGGAGAATGGCATGAATCCGGGAGGCGGCGGAGCTTGCAGTGAGCAAAGATCGCGCCACTGCACTCCAGCC